ACTACTACTACTACTACTACTACTACTACTACTGCTCCTGCTGCTACTACTCCTGCTGCTACTACTACTACTACTACTACTACTACTACCACTACTACTACTACTACGACGACGACGACGACGACGACGACTGCTGCACTCATACTGACTCATACTGTTGCCACCCCCACTAACCACTACCCGCCAGGACCCGCCACCACGCGACGACGACAGTACCGGCGACTTCGGCGAAGATGCTACTTCGACTACGGCTACGACTACAACTACGACGGCCACTGCGAGCTGCACACAAGGCGAGGAAGGCATACGACTCATACGACGGTCCAAGTGTATGGAAGAAGTTTATGTCAATCATGCGTGCCGAGTTACCGTGAATCGTGTTTCCGATCGGGAGTTGTCCAACTTTGTTCCAATTGCTTTCGCTTCCCTCAATGTCGAGTCCTACTTTCCGACAGCATGTTTGAGAAAAGCGCCACGCCTGACACCTCTCTGACAACTGCACTTCTGAGATCAATCGAGTTTTGTGTTAGAAAGCAGCTGAGTGCTGCACAACATGTGTAGAGCGCGACAAGGACCAGGACAACCTGGCTTCAGGGAATGCTTTCAGTTTAGCCTTTCACCTCTAGCAATCCTGGGCTCGAAATCCCGACTCAGACATATTCGAGCAGGGCACGAGGGCAAGGAGTACATGCCCCCCCCAAGTTCTAATTGCGGTTCATTGGTTGACTGTACCACAAAGGCCGAGCCCGGAATCGGCAAACTGCCAAACACAGAGGTGTGCTTGCGGCTGTAGCAATGCTCTCCAAGGGCACAGAGCTTACATCTCGAGGAGCTGGGGAAACAGGCTCCCGGGCCCGGAAAAGAGTTTCGGGAGCTCTTGACTATGATATATGGAATGGAACCTGACGAGGCTTGAACCGCAGCAACCGTCACGACTTACCAAGAAATCACAATCTCCAGTTCCAGAGAGCAGCTTTCTGAAATACTCCGCCCGAAAGCTTCCACTCTGGTAAGGCTCTTCATCTTGTTGCTACGGCAGCATTAACGCAAGTCTCCCGAGTAGGAAAATCAAACGGTCTGCAGTTCTTTGCGCTCTCGCTGATGGCCTCCATGGGCTTATTTCCGTTATTGGGGGCAAGCAATGGAAGTCTCACAGCCTGACGCATTTCTGTGGCGATTTAAGCAAGTGCGACCAAGCTTTATTTTGACAGTCCCTTCCTGCTTCTCCAAAACGACAGAACGACTGCTGCAGTGAGCTCCCAGGCACTACAGACACTGCAGGCTTGCCACAAGACAGGCGAGGAAACCGCCAGTGCCATCCATCCAAGCTGTGCCCAGCACGAATGGGATACGAAGCACATCTGGGATGCGCGAGTTGCCGTAAGTAATGGTCCCAAGGGTCAACTTCTCAGTACTCTTATGACGTAATCAAATCGGTACGAGTACGTAACACAGCCGCAGGTCCTTCAAAGTCCTGCATGCCATAGACATTTCAAAACCTTTACGGGCGATCTACCATGGTTTCTGCTACGCTTGAACACTACACACCGGCCACAATTGTCGACGGGAAAATCATAGAGGCAACGCCTCAATCACAAACCCTTGTTCTCACAATATCGCCGTGCTCTTTGGCTGGATTTGCAGTATGCAATGTTTCGGTGCTTTGAAAGCTTTCGGGCATCCAGTCCAGAATGTCGATCGGCTTACGTCTTCGGGCGTTGAGCACTTCTGTGCTTAGATTGCTTAGGACTGACTGTCTGCATGTGATTTACGGTGAAATGTTTACGGCCCCAAAACAGAGAGAATTAAGCCCCAAAATAACCTCGAGAATTAAGCCCTGCACCGTGGGGCGTCCACATCCTGATGGCATACCACCACAACCTGATCCCTAAAACCCTGAATCTTGCAGCACTGAGGCCTTGATCCCTACTGCCCAATGTAATGTGGTCTCCTGATTCATAACCCCCCGATCATCCGGAATCTGCAATAGTGGTCGGGGTCTATTGTTCGCATCTGTATAGTAAGTTGTTTGGGGGGGGAGGGGGGGGCGCGGTTTAACTTGCTTG